ATCGGTTGAAGACATATATGGGAGTTATATCTACATCTGAACCGATTTTCACCAATTTCAATAGGGCTCGCCCTTGGGCCAAACAAATATTGTTTGGAAAATTTCATCTCAATCAGATAATTGTTTCAGATTGTTTACAAAAATACATGGACAGACGGAATGACATGCATAAATCGACTCAGAAAGTGATTCTATGAAGATCCTCAAAAGTAACTATGGGTCTTGCTTCCTTCTCCATGTTACAAGCAATGTAAGGTATAAAAATTGGTCTGAAAATTAAAAACCCCATTTTTCGTTTTGCAATTTTGGCCTAATACCATCAAAGACTTTTGGTGTTTTTCACCCCAGGAAAATATTGGTTGGGAACGTGGACCAGTGAGGTAATGTTATATGGGGACTACATAAAATGTATATTTGATAGAAATCGAAACATATGTTGTATCACACAATATTATTCCTCTTCTCGCTTTTTTTATGGTCATGCAGGAAATGCTCCTTAATTTCTTCGATTTTCAATCATGATGATACAAACTAAATTTCTTCAAAGCATTTATTTATTTATAATGCTGTTTAAAAAGTCATGCATTTTGAAATACTCCATTAAGCGTCCTCTTCGTTTTTCACCTCCCATTTAATATGCATGTCTTCTTTTTTTTGTTTACATTAAAAGGGTTAATGAAAACCATAGACCCATTTCATTGAATTAAATTCAATAAATTCACCGACACATCAACGCAATTATATCTATTCCACGTATTCTCCAAAAAGCAACAACAACAACAGCAGCAGCAACGGTAGCAGCGAATTTTAAAAATTCAACATTTACGAATGATATTTATTCACACAAACAAATATTTCAACAACCTTTAGTTTCGAATGAGAATCCCCGCACAAAATACAGCTTCCAAACACACAGCAACAACAACAACAACAACTACACACTAATTCACAAATGTTTAATGGAAAAAGAGGAAGAAGAAGCTGTAGCAGCAGATGATGAAGAAGAAAAAAAGAATACAATTACATTTGTCTATTAGTCTTCTCTGTGCATACGTTTGTCTGTCTAACCGTCCGTCTGCCATTCCCACCGACCGGCTATTTGTTTGGATTTATTTGTGGTGCTGGTGTGAAAACTCACAAATTGGCCAAATCAAAATCTAAGATCGTTTGGGGGTGAATTTCACTAAAAACGGATATTGAGATTTTAGTGTTAATCTAAACGTCAGCAAAGTTAGAACTTTGTTATAATTTCATCTTTCGTTTTTGGAAAACTTTTTTTTAATTCGAACGAACTTTTACGTGCGAGACAATTTTTCTTTGTTGGCGTTGTTGTTTTTGCAAGTAAAAATAGCGAAATAATAAATAATTTTTGGCGAAGAAGAGGGAAAAAAAAAGGAAACGTGCAAATAAAAAGAAAACTAAATGTAAACATTGAAACAACGCGACAGGAAGTGAAGACAAATGCAAGTGAAATAACGTGAATTTGAAAGCGGTCAAGATGCATTGCAAATACCCTCCACCAAAAAACAAACATAATTAAAATTATTTAAAATTTAATAAACAATTCAGTCAGAATTTTAATAAATTTAACAATTACCATAACACTACATCAAATGTGAAATGTGAAAGGAGTTCGGGATTAAAATATTAGCTACCTATTATTAAACCATTTGGTTTGAAAGAGTTGGGTTCATCTAGGACTAATGAAGATGCCGAAGTTGTCAATCGCCAATTTTAAACAGTGCTTCATATATAACAACCCAACAAAAATGCCCACTAACAAATAATGAGATTCCTACGACTCATTGCCAGAAGTTACCACGACTCATGTTACACGAATTCAGTCTTTATTATTTGGCGACTAGAAGTCAAAAATTGGCATAAACAGTTTGTAATTGACACTACCGCATCGCGTCCATATCCACGTTTCCGATAGCTCTCATGTAATCACCTCTCGATATTCTACATTTTGACAATTTTAGCCAAATTTTTCAAGCAAATTAGATATTTGGACTTCGTAATGCGTACCACCTTCTACGACATAAAATTGGATGAACAGATCCACGTTTTGTTATAGGCCATATATATCGGAAACTCCATATATTTGGTTTTTAGATGATTTTAGCTATATTTACACCCTACACCACATGGTGGTAGGTGTATTATGTCTTTGTGCATTTTTTTGTAACAGATGAGAGGATTCTATGTGGATCTTCATATAATCACTCTCTGAGTCGATTTATGCATGTCATGTATTTTTCTGAAAAAAAATGCAGGTCGCATTTATTATCCGATTGAGATGAAATTTTCCTAACTATATTTGTTTGGCACAAGGACGAACCATATTTGCGAGAAACGGTTAAGTTAGATATATATCTTCAACCGATTTCGGGGAAATTGTGCAGCAAATGGCCGAATGACCTGAATTTTGACACATCTGACCGAATTAAGTCTGGAATCAAGTACATCCTATTTGGAGAATATCGGTGCAGATATAGCTATAGCTTCCATGTTAACGTTTTATTCCAATTGTAGCTCCCATACACATCTTTATCCGATATCAGGTTTCTTGGACACCACATGACTAATATCAGCCCAAATGGGCTGAATTATGGCAAATCCGACTGAATCCATCCTTGAAACAAGTATTCCAAATTGGTTCCGATATAGTTAGAATTCCAATATACAGGGTGAGATGAAAAACTGCAACCAACTTCAGACTGCTGTCATTTCAAAGCCACTCGTCCGACAGCTGTTAAAATTATTCCAGTGACAGTTCATTATATTGTTTACAAGCGTACAAAAGCGTTTTGGTGAGAATTTTCCCGAAAAAAATTATCCGTGATGGAATTCAAGCGTGATAGTGTGATTTCTTTATATTCTGCTGAATAACCACAAGTGGCTATCATTAGATCACTCCAGCATTTAAATGTGAATAATTTTTTTTTGTCTCGTACCACCGCTCGCTATCACCATGATACTGGTAGCGTAGCCCGACGTCAAGGAAGTGGACGGAGGAAAATAGCAACATCAGCAGAAATGCTTCGAAAAGTAAAGAAGCGACTTGATCGAAACCCGCGTCGCAGTGGCCGAAAAATGGCTCGTGAGCTGAACATATCGCAATATTCCATTCGGAAAACATTAAAAAATGAGCTCGGGGAAAAGCCATTGAAATTCCAAAAAGTACCGCAACAGAAAGAAGATAGGCTCAAAAGAGATAAAGAGTCTCTTCGCTTGGCCGAAAGTGGTGAACTGCTGAAATTGGTTTTCTCCGATGAGAAAACATTCGTTGTCCAGCAGTTTGTAAACAAATAAAATGATCGTGTTTACTTGCCAAAGAGGTCAGTTGAAAATGTGCACCTTGGGTTGGCCACCAGAACCCAAGCGCCGACCATGGTGATGGTGTGGGCCGCTATAACAGCCGATTGTCGCTCCCGCTCGTATTAATCGTGGCATCAGAATAAATAACGAATATTATCGCGAAAATATTCTGGAGGGTGTATTAAAGCTTTGGGCACGCAAACATTTTGGCCGGATACCAATCCGTTGGACTATTGTGTCTGGAGTATTTTGGAAAGCAAGGTTGACACTAAAAGAGACCAAAGTTTCGATCACCTCAAGCAAGCGCTACGCCGTGAATGGGCCAAAATACCTCAGAGCACCATAATTCGTGCCAAATGTGACCGATTCGAACAAATCTAAACTTTTTCTAAAATTTGATGCTATTTCCAACATTTTTTGCTTTTATTCAATAAAATTAAAAACAAATTTAAAAATGATGGCGTTTGACTTTGTTGCAGTTTTTTATCTCACCCTGTACATCTTCATCCGATTTTACGGTTATTGCTCACCAGATATAATTTAAGCACAAATTGAATAGATTTTTTCATATTCAACCGGATTTTACCATTTGGCGAAACTCGGTTCGGTACATCTACTGTTCCAAGAAATATTTTTTAATATTATTCTTTTTGAAGTCATATCATGCGCTATACACCAATTTCATTTGGATCATATTTGGTATGATCTACTTCACATAAATACACCAATATATTCTTTTCTGTTGCAGGAACTCTCCTAAATACGCATAGTGGTGAAGGGTATCATATAGTCGGCCCCGCCCGACTTTTGACCTTTCCTTACTGGTTTTTATATGATTGTTTGAAATTTGGTATTTGAACTCGAAAAAGGTACCATCGCCTCTGGTAATGCAGAAGGTTGTCTGTTTAAACTGCTTTTAAATCCTAGACAGAATACAAATGACAGACCGACCGACATCCTTAAATCGACTTAGAATTTTATGCTGATCATGAATATATCTACTTTTTGGGGTCTGCGACGAATATTTAGGGATGTTACAAACGGAGCGGCAACGTTAATATACCACCCTTTTTAAGGTGTAGGGTATAACAAGGATGAATATAAATTACGTCAGAAAACTCTCTGTATTTTCCAAATGTTAGATATACCTGTAAAACGTAAGTAACGTCAAATAAGCACACATTATGCCATATTTGACATTGAGCACCATTATTGGTAGTATACACATTTATTTGTTCCAAACGTTTCGCCAGTATGGACAAGGACGCCGTTTTCTGGTGGAGGGTATTGACAATGGTTGGCCAAATTCTGTGCCAAATCTGTCGCGTGCGTCTTTATTGCAATATAAAAAATAACTACAAAAAATTGGAAGCAATGAGTGCTTATTTTAATCTTTGCTGTTGTTGTTACAGCATCTACGCCAAAAAAATAAAGAATAAAAAACCTCCATATGGTACGTGCCAACTATTAAAATATGTGTATTTCGCATTTTATCGCCTAATATCTCAGTGTGATTACTATGCGTTGAGGTAAACAAAAATATTAATCGGATTTGGAAGTGAAAGACGCTGCAACGCATCTTTTGTGGCATTGCACATACGCGCATACGAGTATTTCAATTGACGCACAATAAAAAAAAACGAAAAAAAAAATACAAAAAATATTTTTTTTTGTAAAAATAAGCAACCAATTGTTGCCTTACGGTGTCTTACAGTGTAATTCTTTGCGCTAGCCAAACAAAGACAACCCAGCAAAGATGCATTCCACCACATGTGGTATTGGGGCCAGCAGCAGTAGCAGCTCACCTCCAACGCCTTCAATGCAACAGTAAGTATAATTATTTTATGATTTTTGTTTTTTTTTGTTCTTCTTTTTTGGAATTTAAGGAAATAGAACACAGGAAATTTATTGAATGTGTGCTAATTATTTATAGAATTGTTTAGCAGCTTAAGGTGTTAAATGATGAAATCTGTTTACTAATAATTTCATTTTTTAAAATAATCTTAAGGAAATAAACAACTTGTTTAAATGTTACGCAGATTACAAATCCCACTTTTCCATACAATTTAGACTAATATCGGATGAAATATGTATAGAAGCTATATCCTAATCCGAATCGATCTGGATAAAAATTGCCAGAGGTATTTCTGAGCTGTATGAGATATTTGGTATCGAATACCATTATTTTGGACTGCATATAAGGAATCCGAGGGACTTAGATGCCAAATCGGATAGAACATATATACGGGAGATATAGCTATCTCTAAACTGATTTTAAGCAAATTTTCAAGTATTTTCTTGTAGGCTAAATTCGGTCGGATGTACTGAAACACATCGTAGTTGGTCGAATATTACACACTTGGTGCACAATAAACCTGGAATCGAATAAACATATATACATATATATGGGAACTATATCTAAATTTGGACCGATTATCTCAAATTTTAGTGGGGCTCGTCCTTAGGTCAAACAAATTAAAGGAAAAAAATTTCAACTCAATCGGACAAAAAATGCGACCTGGATGGGCAGACGGACTGAGGACGAACATGCTTAAATGGACTCAGAATCTGATTCCATACAGAAACCATAGGTCTACTAGCAAGTTCCAAGTTGAAATTTTAGATTTGTTCCAACAGTTTGTGTCAGGCCTTTTCGGTATTCAAAATGCACAATATCAAATTTCGGAATTCCAGCTTTGTACCTTCACCTAATACCTACTATTTAGTATTTTTCGAAGAATTATAGTACATATTTTGAAACCCCCTTCATATCTCATTTTCAGATACCAACGGAGACATCAAATTCAAATTTCAAATTCCCTTCACTCAACTTCAAATTTAGTATAATTTAGTACATTTCGTACAAATATAGGACGCGTGTATCAAATTTCTTAATTTTATCTCTATCCCTTCACGCAATACCAAGTGTATTACCATTTAGTACTTTCCGTAAAATTAAAGTACGCATATACAAAATCAGCTCTTTCTTTCAACCACAGACACAAACAGTGACATCTATAATCAATGCTCTACTCAGTCACCCAACACCAAATTTAGCACTATTTAGTAATTCTCATACAATGTATACCGTCATTTCCAAAACCACCAGCATATTTTAATCCCAGAAACCAACAGAGACCTCAATATCAAATTTCGGGATTCCAATCTTATTCCTTAACCCCATCCATACCCAATGTAGTATCGCTTACTACTTTTCGTACAGTTATAGTACACATGTCCGAAATCACCCGTGAACGGTGACCTTAATACCAAATTTCATATTTCAAGCACTATCCGTTCACACCAAATTTAAATTTCAAAATTCTCTTAACAAATTTCTAGTTTTTAGCTCCGTTCACATAAGACCAAATGGTACCATGTTAGAAGTATTATTTTAAAACTTTTCGTAACTATAAAGTTCAAATTTTCCAAAACCTTTTGTACATATTTCCTTTCCTCCACCAGTGACTCTGAATCACTCGAACATTCCAAATGTTAAAAATCTAGCTCATTCCGTATGTCCAGTACATTATATTCAATGTTTAGTATATTCCAGTACTTTTCGTACACTTTTAATACGAATTTCCAGAAATCCAGCCTTATTACAAGCCTAAGCACCAAGACTTACCCTCATGCAAAAAAGGTCCAAGAAACCCCTTAGGCTTAAGATACAAAAATTAATCATCCTCGAAATATTTATCTGGAATATTTCTACATACCTAAAATCAACGGGTTCGATGGAATCCTAATTTGAAATTTTCAAAAAATCTTGAAGAGCGTGGGGTGGGGGTACTTGCCCTTCTACTTACTTTTAGATGCATAGCAATATTACTGATAACTCTGCAAGGATCATTTTTGTCGAATATTAACCTTCAAGCGAGTCACCGAAAGGATCTTTTTTTCTTCTTTTTTCAATATTGCATATAAAACACGAGGACCTTTTTAGTCAAACATTTTACCCCTTAAGCGAGGCATGGAAACGTTTTTTTGTTTCTTTTCTCATGATGGATATTAACTTCCCTCAAACGGGTTCGCAGGGTTAAAGTCGAACATTGGATTAGTTTATACAAAATTCTCTAAGAAAACTTTAAAAATAACTATGATGACGTAAAAGCTAAAAAATATTCCTCATGAGGAAAATGATTTCTATCCCTATAGTATATCAGAAAAACATTTCTTTCAATTTTGGCAAAAAACAAAAAAAAAAAAAAACAGAAAATCTTCCAATTTTCATCAGTAATATTACTGTGTACATAAAATCCACGGATTCCGAGGAATCTTATTTCGAAAATTTTTAAAAGTGTGAAAGAGGGAGGACCTTGCGCCCTCTTTCAAACGCTGATATACGTGTTTACTATTTTAGGGTCTACTTTTATAATTTATGGTAATTTCAAAAAATTACCTAAAAGCAGTAATTTCGGCCGGGCCGAACATTGAATACTCTCCTCTATTTGAAAATAATATGGAAATTTTCAAAAAAAAAAAAATTAATAAATAAAAATAAAAAATAAGTAAAATTCGTTAAAAATTCTGTTAAAATCTTAAAAATACCGAATATAGGAAGTCGCTGTTATATTGGGGTCTAAACGAAGATGCGCAGGTCACTTTTGTCATAGGCTATTATAATGTTCAAATACGAAACTTGAAAAAAACCCCTGAATAATGTAGCTAAAATCAATAAATGCCGGTACCTCTCCGATATAGGGGGCTATACGAAGACCTGATCCTGCATACATGATATTCTTTTACAGGGTACTACAGCCAATTAGAAACTTCAAATACGAAATGCGAAACAATTCTGGTGATTAATGTCGCTAAAATCATCAAAATACGGAATACAGGGTGAGATAAAAAAACTGCAATAAGGTCAAACGCCATAATTTTTAAATGTTTTAAAATATTTAATTAAAGCAAAAAATGTCGTAAATAGCTTCAAATTTTAAATAAATTTAGATTTGTTCGAATTGGTCACTTTTGGCACGAATTATGCCCTTCAAATGGCCAATGAAACCGTCACACGATGCCCGAATGTTGCTCTGCGGTATTTTGGCCCATTCCGACGAAGCGCTTGCTTGAGGTGATCGACACTTTGGTGTTTTTTAGTACCAACAATAGTTCAACGGATTGGTATCCGGAGATTTTGGTGGCCATTGTGCGCTGGAAATGAAGCGAGGAACCTCATTTTGTAACCATTCTTGGGTGGTGCGTGCTGAGTGCGATGGTGCTGAGTCCTGTTGGGATGTCCAAGATCTGCGGCCAAAATATTTGCGTGCCCAAAGCTTTAATATTTTCGGGATAATATTCCGCATTTATTCTGATGCCACAGTCGATTAATACGAGCGGAGAGCGACCATCGGCTGTTATGGCCATGGCTTTTTACACCATCACCATGGCCGGCGCTTGAGTTCTGGTGGCCAACCGAAGGTGCACATTTTCAGCTGACCTCTTTGGCAAGTAAACACGATCATTTGTTTGTTTACAAACTGCTGAACAAAGAATGTTTTCTAATCGGAGCGGAGAAAACCAAATTTCAAAGTTCACCACTTTCGGCCAAGCGAAGTCCACCACTTTCAGCCAAGCGGTGTAAATTCTTGCACTTTTTGGAATTTCAAACCCGCGTCGATCAAGTCGCTTCTTTACTTGTTGAACCATTTCTGCTGATGTTGATGTTTTCTTCCGTCCATTTTCTTGACGTCGGGCTACTCTACCAGTATCACGGTAACCAGCGAGGGTGCGAGACAAAAAAGATTTATTCAAAATCACACTATCACGCTTGAATTCCATCACTAATAACTTTTTTCTGGAAAATTCTCACCAAAATGCTTTTGTACGCTTGTAAACAATATAATGTCACTGGAATAATTTTAACAGCTGTCGAGCAAGTGGTTTTTTCATCTCTTCCTGTATAAGGACAATTATTTTTCAGGGAGTTAAATGCTTGGAAAGATCTTCTTGTAAGGATTTTCAGCCAATTCCATTGGAAAATGTAGCTAAAATCATCAAATATCGATTGTAGGGGGTACAGTTTTATGGGGGCTATACGATATCGTGTAACGATATAGCCCAACTTCGAAATTGATCTGTCTGCAGACAAAAGACTGATCTATGCAAAATTTTAGCATCCAATCTTAATTTGTTTTGACTCTAGCGTGATTACAACAGACGGACGGACGGACAGGGCTAAATCGTATTAGAATTTTACGCTGATCAAGAATATATATAATTGTTAGGTCTAAAATTGTTATTTCGATGAGTTACAAACGGAATGACGAACTTAATATACCCTCCATACTATGTATGGTGGAGGGTATAAAAAGAAATTATCGCACAGCGTTATTTAAAATTCTCTTAAAAGGGTTAGGGGGCAAATTTTTTTAAGGCATTGGAAGTGATTGACATTTCTAATGCATCGTTTTGTCACAATTATGTACTTTTAACAGTTCATAACATTTTCTTTAAAATTGTCACAGATTTCATGACATGCATACAGACACACACTTGTACATCAAACACTTAAAATATTTTGACACTTTGTTTTAAAGCAGAGCTAATTGTCCCTCAAGTGCTAATACGCACGCACACTCACACACACAACAAACAAACATTGTTCACACAAAACAATGAAAATAATTCTCATATTTGTTGTGACCGACCGCCCGTCTAAGTACTTTGAACACATCATTCCATACCAAGTAGCCGGATAAGAGATCCGCCAAAAAACGCAACCACTAAAAATTCTTAAGAATTGTATCAATTAAATCGACAGACACCGCATGTTTTAGTTTTGCCTCTGCCGGGGTAGCTTTCATCTATCAATTTGATTGAAA